ATATATATATATATATATATATATATATATATATATATATATATATATATATGCATATATGTTTGCTTGTGAGTTTCCCTAAACTAGTGCACTATTTGTTTTGCCTTTCCAACTCCCCGTATTTTCTGTGTTTCTCTGGCCATCCATATCTCTCCTCTGTCTTTGCTTTTGCTCGAGCAATAGGAGAGAAATGCATGCTTCAAGGTGACGCAAGCAGTAAATCACAAAGAGCCACGTTGCTCAGCTTGCACGCCTGAACTCCGCAAGTGTCTGAACCTGTAATGCGCTCTCATTGCCATTAATTTGGTCCTCACGTTGCGTGGCCTCTGATGCGCTTCAGATATTAGTTGTATTAGTTATCTTCAGATAATAATAGCAATTCGTCTGGCATTAATTCAATTATTTGCCTCTATCTCCAGCCCAACTCACCGCTACGTACTCTTACAGTTCGACTGCCTAGCCGAGCGGTATGTTTCAGAGTTTACCGAAGGTCACGAAGGAATAAAACTGGGATCGTCGCTGCAAGTTGGGGAAAAAACTGCAACCGCCGTACGAGGTGGGACGGACTCGGGGTGTACAGCCTAACCTCTGCCGTTCCCCAATGTTTTTGTTGCCCTCCACTGCATCGGGTCTGCTGCTCGGAACAGTTAAAGTTTGGCGGTTCATGCAGCAATGGGAGCTTCATAGCCTGAAGCTAACAAGCGTGGCTTGGTTGAAAAAGTACTCTGTAGACTGGCTGACGGGGAAACGGGGTGGCTAGCTGGGCAGCTAACGTAAGTCTGCCTTTCTAAGCAGAGACAACTGTCAGCATAGCAACCAAACCGGCAATTAGAATGGTACGGACGGCAGCTGCTTCAGCGCCATCTCCAACAGGAGTCTGCAGGTCGTCTGCTGTCATATCTTTCAATGCAGTTGTTCGTGCAACAAGTCCGTTGAAATACTCCTCACTGCAGGAAAGAAAATGGAGCAGACAAAGTCACAGCTACAAAAAGCACATCACCAGCTTTGGTGGACAATTGTATGTAAACAACTCCGTTAACCCCCCGTGGAAGGTGCGCTCAGAAACACAAAACATACCTAAAGGGGGCCTCATCCTTCGTCGGTTTGGGGTTTAGTTTACAGAAAAGTACAGCCTCATTTGTTACAGTTTCATTTGTCTCTTTTGGGGCGCTCCTGCCTGTTTGAGGTGGTTGCGGATCAGTCCCAGTCGTTACCGTGGTACACCTTCCAATAACGCAGCCGATTGTAGTGCTCTCAGATCCGAGGAGATATGCCAAATTGGCACCCTCAACTTTATTCCAGATTGCTTGCCACTCGGTTTCTTCCTGAGGGTATGTTTTTTTGCTGGAACAAATGTTAACATAACACCACACATGCAAAAGTGATGTGTTGGCTGGAGAGAAGTCGGCGAGGCTGATTAGCTGTCGGGCGTGTATCATCATCGTGTTTCGTTATACAGAGAAGAGCTCTGGGACTTTTATGTAGTGAGGCTGACTATGACATTTCCTTACTCGAAGGCTGCCAATCCTGCCTCAACGGCCTTCTGCAGCAATTGACGGTAGTTAGGAGTGGCCTCAGCATCTTCGGTGTACTCGAAAGTGTGATGAAATGTCTCCTTCTGTACACCCAAATTATATAGAGGACAACAAGACTGTCTCCTTGTATTCAGTCCATCTGAGATAACCAGCTGAATCGCTGCCCGTTTTCTGTCGGGTTTCACCGGGTGGCTACGAGCTGCCGTTGCCACAGTATTAGTGCCCGTAGCTTCAGTGCAAATCCCCCGCTTTTGTTCTTGTTGTACTCACAAGATCGGATGTTATCAATCCCTCGCAAGCCTCTGCATTCTCTCCTGTTGCGGCTTTTACGGCCGACCTCAAGGAATCGACAAGGGTGTCGTCCTTTGTGACTACACTGATGCGAACAGGGAGTTTCCCATTACGGGCCAAATTAGCACTCATGTAGGCATCTGCACCGAACAAAGAGTCACGAAGAGGTAATCAACAGCTGCTTGCGGCTTGCTGTCATTCGCAACTATGCAGTAGACGGCTTGAGAATGTGCAAGCTGGGGGAAAACACAAGGAAAATGATAACATATAGGGGGCTACATACTCACCTGCTTGTACTTCTTCTACCGTAAATTTGTATGTTGGATTGCTCGCCTCTGTTTGAAGCCCGCACAGTGCAACGAGGCAAACGGCTGCAGCCGTTTTGTAGAGGGAAGCCATTGCGGTAGAAAGCGCGAGAGAGATTTTGATGCTCCCCTAAACTGAAAAAGAAATATATGCATTCAACTGAATGAATACAGGATAGAAGGCACACAAGTCAGAGTTCTTCGGCTGGCCCTCGAGTCTCGTGAACAGCGAATGGGGCACAGCCGAACAACGGTATCGGAAATGCAAACAGAACTTGAAACTCAGTATAATTAGTATTTCAGGAAGGTAAACAAATAGGAATTTCTATGTAGAAGACTTGCGTGCTATGTAGTTATCTCCGTTCGTGGAGGCTCCTGCGGTTCCCAGTAGGAGACCGCTGGAGTTGTAAGGGCAGCTTAGTGCCGAGACCCCAACATCAGACCCGGGACTATACAAAGCTCTGTTGTAATGGAAGAAGTTAATCCATGTTTATGAAGTCATTACTTCGATTGATGCATTCTTGAGAGGAGGGAAGAAGCCACTTGCAAGACGTTTCCCTGGAGCCTGTGCGTTGTTGCTGCATGACTCACGTTGTCCCCGAAAAGGATGCAATAACGCGCATGAGTTAATGGTGTGAATAACGCGCACGCGTTAAAAATGTGCTTTGAACAGATCAACAAACAGTTGAAGATGAAAAGTAATGGAGATACTCGCAATGCAAACGCGTGCTGCAACTTGCTGCATGCATCCATCGTAAGCGCACGTGTATCGTTTGTCGTTTGTAAATCTTCCGAGCTAAGGAACAACAAACAGCCAATGCCTCCTCAGGATCTGGGGTTTTATGATGCGAACATCCTCTGTTGTGATGATGCCCTTCTGTAGCGTCTCATATCTCTCCCTCGTCTTCTTCTCTTGTGTGTTTCTCTGTAACGTGTTTGTGTATGTACTAGGCGCACAAGTAGGCCCAGCCAGCGGCAGTAAAACGAAGCGCTGCTCAAGGGTTGACTGCTGAACTAAGGCACACAGAGACTGAATTTCTCTGCCTGCGTTAACTTGCCTGAGGAGAACATAAAGGTTTTCAACCCTTTAATTAGTTTGTTTCTTTGGAAAAACTCTCTGACTACTAATCGCTGCCATGCACCAGGCCACCTTGCAATGGGGATGGAGTTTTTTGCTCTCGCCTGCCCTGATGAACTGTGCGGTGGTACCAAGTGTTAAGATAGTCGTCGATCTTCGCTGAGGAGTTCTTGCAACTAGTGCTGCAAGGCCACGTGGGGAGCCACGTGCAACCACCGGAAAGCCCCCTTTGCCACATGCAACAGCGTAGAAGACAATACTTAGCGTCTCTCTAGTGTCTTAAAAACATGTAATCGACACTCGGTATCGAGCCTGAGGCCAAGTACAAACACGGGAACTAGTGTCACGCCGATCGTGCCATATCTGCCGCCCCATCTCCCACGCAGTGCGCGTCTTTGCTTACCTGGTCATCCATACGGAAAGAAATAAAACAAGAGAGGAGGGGGCCAGCGGCGCCTGGGATTTCTGCTTCGATGTGCTGGTGTCGTTGCACGCACTTCGTTTCAGCGGCCCCTCTCAGGGGCTCTACCGCTGGCCGGGGCCATGTGATCGACAGGCCGAGCGTATTTCGAAAGGTTGCTTGCTCGAAGGCATTCCTCGTAAATATCTGCTTGCGTCTTGAATCAGAGACAGTAACTGCATGCGCTGGTACGCGCAGCTTAAATTAAGGTTGCACCCATCCAGTTGGTGACCGTTGCTCTGTCCCCTGTGAAGAGGAGCGCATATCTTTCTATGTGTTTGCTCTTTTGCGCCCTTTTCTGGCAACCCCTTTTGCCTACAGCTATTCCAGAACAAGTACCAGAAACACTTGAGCCTTTTTCGAGCTTTGGGCCTAACTTTGTGGATGGCCTGCGGCCAGCCCACTCATGCACTAATGCTACTCGTTGGCCGAAGTTCAATGAATATTTTCTACTGGACTGTGATCCCCCTATTAGAACCGGATCTCTCCTAATAAAAAGCCACAAAGGCCCGTTAGCGACAAGTAGCAGCACCAATGAGAGTCCCCGCTGCAACGGGCTGCACGCTGACAGCGCCAATCGCACATCGAAGCGAAATCCCCAGATGCCCCTCGCTGTCCTTTCCCTCTTGCTCTTCCTTTGTATTCGTCGTGACTGGCGAAAGTGCAAACGATGCTATGCTCTGCTTAGGAGAAGGCCGCGGCTGATGTTGCACGTCCTGCGCGGGCTAGCTATCGCGTGCCACATTAGTGTAAAACAGTCGCCTACTGTGGTTGTGTACTTTTTACTGCATGCAGCTGCGCTTGCCCTGTGGGAATGACTTGCATCGCTTGTTCCAGAAAGGTGCGCTGCAGGTCATGAAATTCTAGCTCCTCGCCGCACGAGCGTCAGGCCCTTCGGCTCCTCTGCAGACGCCGCCTATGGACTGGTAGGGAGGTCAGCGGCTTTTCAGGGAATCCTTTCTTGAATATTTTGGCTATATTGCAGCTCACTGGACACATTGGGTAGTATAGAAGGCTCTCCTTTCATAATACCCCGGATACGAGGAGGTGTTGGCGGCCTGTGGTTCTGCCTCTCTAAATATCTACAGGCAACGAACGAAACACGTGGCATTTTCGATGCGCAGCATGCACTGCTGGAGGCGTTTGCGCTTGAAATGTTTTCTTTAATATTGTACCTAAGCTCTTTCCATTTCGTTTTCGAGCGTTATCCAGGTCATGTGTGTTATTAAGCCCAATGCATTCATGCATGGGACGACTAGCAGCATGGTTCCACGTACACGATGTGCAAGAGGTGATGACAAAATGAAACAACTACAGCAAGTAATTCATAAAAATACATCAACATTTTCCTCGTCAGCAAGATGGTGTGTATTTCATGTGCGGATGCCTTGCTCCGGGCGCTGGGTCATTGCAACTCCAGCTGCAGCGCTCAGGTACTACAATGGAGCTCAAGCAGAACCTTCCGAGACCTAGTTATCTGTAGGAGAACAAATACAACACTTATAGAAAAAACCTGTATTAATTCATATACTTTAGGTAGAAAGCTAAGGTGACCAAGCCAAGAATGCTCGGCAGCCACCCAGGGCCGTGAGGCTGTTGTTGGGACAGTGACTGACTGCTAAGTCAAGAAAGAGATCTGTTAATCTCGGATTTCCTCTCAAGATTTTGGGGACTCGAATATGGTTTAAGGATGATTACTAGAATATTTAGGTCATATTAGTAGAGGTTCGCCGCGTTTAGGGTAGAGATGTAGTTCGTGCCCCTGGCCTCTGATACATCCCCGACGCATCAGCAGAGACCGCTGCACCAGCTGTCTCTGTCAGGGTTCGGCAGGATCCCACACATGAACAAATAAAAAACACAGAATTTGGCTTTCACGTCAAAATTATTGTTCCATCTTCTCCTACTATTAACTATACTTAATATCGAGCTTTTCGCGCACTCCAGGTTTTGTTGTTCCGCTTTTGTCCATTCGCTCTCCACGAGAATAGTGGACCCGCCAAGTAACTCCTCTCCATTTGCTCCCCTTACTGCACAACTTATAGCCCATATTTTTTTCCTCTTGAAAAGAGAACCTTTTGAAAGCTCCCCACACTTCCCGTCGCAATGGCTTCCCTCTACAAGACGGCAGCAACGGTTTGCCTTTTCGCCCTATGTGGTCTCCACTTGGCGGCGGCAGGCACAAAGAAGTACAAATTTACCGCAGAGGAAGTGACTGAAGGTAAATAAGTTTCTTCCGTTCAACTAATCGGCTGCAAAAGAACGCAATCCTCCCCACTTCACGTCGATCTTCAACGCTTAACGCTTTATTCGTATTTGCTTGCTGCAGACGCCTACTTGGCGGCAAACTTGGCCCGAAATGGAAAGCTCCCAGTTCACATCACCGAAGTCGAAAAGGATGACGGGCTTGTCACTTCCTTGAAGGGAAAAGTAGACGGCAAACCTGCAGGTACAGACGGGACATGCGAGACATTGATAGAATCCGACCTCGTGAGCAAAGCCATTCGAAGAGCACAGCATTTGTGCCGTTGCTACCAGTATGCGTATTTTGGCAGCAGCAGCTCGAAACCCCTTCGCAAAAACCCGCAGAAGCTGGACAGCCATCCAGCGGAACAGCGTTAATATAGTGAACCTGTCTTGATGCTTGCTCTCCCACTTGGACGTACAGAAAGAGACGTTTCATCACATTTTCGAGTATGAGACCGTTGCGAAGACCACTCCTAACTACCGTGAATTACTTCAGGATGCCCTTGACGCTGGCATAACATTATTCGAGTAAGGAATACCTTATTTCTCTGCACAACAGACGGCTTGCAGCTGTTTCTTCGCATAGCGCAGCAGCAGCGCAGATGCTTAACATATCTACAAAGCCATCCTCACCGCCTTTTCCGTAGCAAAGTTGTATTCATTACGTTGTTACTGTGCTGCGTTAACTGCTTTTATTTCTCCAAAAGCAAGACATACCCTAAGAACGAAGCGGCGTGGAAACAGATCTGGACAGAAGATGCGGGCGCCAGTCTCGCACGCCTTCTCGGGTCTAACAGCACTACAATCGGCTGCGTCATTGGAAAATGTACGGAAGTAGAAGGTAGTGTTGAAGCGCTAGGCGACGAGGGTGAAACTAAGCACGGAAAGGCTGTCCTTTTCTGTCAGTTAAACCCTGCAACGGCGAAGGACTCGGCCCCTTTTACGTAAGTTTTGGGTATCGGAGCAAATATTTGACGAGCGACATTCGAAAGAATGTAGAAGCAAATGCCCACGAGAACTCTATATGAGCTTTTATATCCTGTGTTTCTTGTTTCCGTTTGCTCGTTTCCTTTTTGCAGTGAGGAGTATTTCAACGGACTTATAGAACGGACGAGTTTATTAAAGGATATGACAGCAGACGACCTGAAGAATTCTGTTGGAGATGGCGCTGCAGCAGCTGCCGTCCCTACCATTCTAATTGCCGGTTTTGTTGCCATACTGACAGCCCTCTCTGCCTAGAGAGGTAGCCGTCCATTAGCTGGCTAGATAACCACCCCGCTTCCTCGTCAGCTAGTCCACAGAGCACCTTGCTACCAAGCCAGTGTTGTTGACGTCAGTCTGTGGAACTTAACTTGTTGCGTGAACAGCCAAAATTCAACTGCTGTTCAGAGCAAGGGGCCCGACCCTGCGTGGTGTCTAAAGGCAGCAAAGGTACTGTCCGGCGAACGTCAGTGTTTAAACTTTACAGTCTGACGCCATTCCACCTCATATGGTGGCTGCAGTTTTTTCTCCGACTTGCAGCAATTAGCTCAGTTTTTTATTTCGCAGTGGTTTTTGGTTATATTTTGAAATATTCTTCTCCTCTAGGCAGGCGAATTTTGTGCACGCACATGGTCTCCGGCGTAGCGCGTAGCAATGAGTTCCCAAGCCATGCTTGTCGGCTTCAGGCTGAGAAGCTTCACTTGCTGCATGAACAGCCAAACTGTCACTACTGTTCCAAACAACAGATGCCCCATGGAGTCGAAATGCAGCGAATCAATGCGGGAAAGCCAGAGGTTAAGCTTCACACTCTGAGGCCGTTCCACCTCATATGGCGGTTGCAGTTTTTTCTCCACCTTGCAGCGACGATCCCCGTTTTATTTCGTCGTGGCCTCTGGCTACACTCCGAAACGTACCGCTCGGCTAGACAGCGAACTGTATGCAGGTAGTTGGCCTCCAGCGCAAAACGTAACAAAGAGCTGCGCTGCTTATTCAAACAAATTGTTGAGTTGATGGCAAGAGAATTTAGTAAGTACTCGAAGACAGCCAATATTTGAAACAAATCCGGGGCAGTCCAACGTAAGGGCGGCGAAGGCAACTTGAAAACGCATTGTAGGCAAAGAGCTTTCTAAATCAAGCTTTACAAATACAACAACTCCGCTGTTTATGGTTTTTTTGCTAGTGTCGCATAAAGGTTCGTCCTCCGCTACTGCAGCAAACAAAAACGGACAAGAAGAAGATAGATGAATGACCAGAGTCACCGATAGTACTAATAGTAGAACTGGCAAAAAATATTGCAGCACTAGCTTTGGGAGAGGAAGCAAATGGGTATAGGCAAATATGTTTATGTACCGCTTTGCTTGTATGTGCCTCAACCTGGTTAGTAGCACACCTAGTCGCAACACTTGCTGCAAGGCAACCCAACATGCAGGCAGAACTAAGCCCCCTGTACTGTACGCACCAACATTGGCGACAACGGTTAGCCAGTTATTTTGCCCTCAGTACACAGACTGCACGCAACTAGACATAAACCTACCAAATGCGCAAAGCCCTTATAATAATAGTAAGCATTCTAACGCGGTGTCAGGACACAAACGACGGTGATGAAAGTGCGCAAATAGTACCTCAATTGTAGCATAAAGTAGGACTTTGCTGGGAGAAGAATGAAAAACCTTCAACACAAGAATGTTAAGTGAAATTCAACATGACGAAACCCAAACAAACAAAAAGACCAAATATGGTAGGCGAGAGAGCCTCTC